ACACACACACCACACCACACCACACCACACCACTGAATAGATGAAGGCGGGGGGGTTCTTTCTCTGAGCCATTCTGCTCGCTTGTCCCCAGAGCAGATCATATTAACATTTTATAAAATCAAGATTTCCTGCATTTAAATAGTTGTGGTTTCCCAACTGGTTCCAGTATTTCGGAGGGGAATTCAAACCTCCTTCCATTACTCAAAGTCAAATTGCTTTCTGCGCTGTTTTTACGTACATTAGAAGGGGAGCGGTGTCAAAGTGATGGTAGGATGGGGGCAAAAAAACAACAAATCCCTGGAGGAGCATCCACAGGTTCCCACCTGTAGAGGGCCCAAGTGATGAAGGGATAGAAGGAGAGAGGAAGGTGACTCATTCTCACCTTCTCACCGCAGTGTGGTCCAGTTCTCTGAATCATAAGCAGGTGTCCATACTGCTCTTTTTCCATCCCTCTCGTTTGTCTTCCCCCTTCTGCCTCTCTGTGGGGTTCTGAAGCCTGAGAAACAGGGAGTAAACACAGGAGCTATGATTCAGCCTGACCTCAGATCAGGGGAGCAGCAGGAGGAGGAGACTGGGTTCAGCCTTTAGCATGTAGTTAACCAAATGTAAAACATTCTGTTCTCATAGACATTCACATTCACCTTCTACCAATGCTAGCGTTTCTTAAAATGCAAATGTATAAAATCATCTACTCTGTTTGGGCAGTTGCCCAAATCGCTCTGCCTTCTTCAGACAAACATATCACCATCTGCTCCCCTGCTGTTGCTTTCGTGCATGGCACTGTGGGATAGCCTTTCATGTACCAGCAGGGCTCTGCACTGCCATCACAGCCCTGCTGGCCTGCGACCGATATCATTAAGCCTCTGTGGCCTGAGATGAACTGGCAACCTTCAGCCACAACCACTGCTGCAGCTGTTGTTTCTGTCATTGTCGTTATTATGAGAAACACAGGTCCACCATCACGCTTTTTTCTCCAATCAGTGAAAGAATGCAACCTTTTGTAGGGAGTTAGAATCTGGGGGGAGTCAGTGGGTTATTTGACTTCAGAGGGACACATTGAACCAGAAAGAGTGAGAGTGTATTTTCGCCAAGATAACTATTATTTTAGTGGGACAGCGCACTAGCAGACCTGCATTAGTCACAGCTAATGCACTATAAAAATAAAAGACTGTCCATGTGGTTAATTTGATCTGGAGTTTTTACACCTCATCCACCAAAACTCCAGTTCCCCTTTTTGAAAAGTTTGGCATTACAGAGGAAAAACAAAAAAAAAGCTGAGCGTGAAGTTCTCAGCATGGGCTTATTCCTGATTTTCCACACTGATTAATGTTAACGTATATTAGCCCACCTGAGACAGCACAGCGGGAGTCATTTTCAGAACAATTTTCATTACATCTCCTGAGTAAACATTTGCTCAGCCGATGTCAATTCAATTTGTCTGCTGGCTGATAAGAGGTAGCTAGCAGTGGGATTTTTAGACATGTAGGCATCAGTGAAATAACAGAAGACCTAATAGCAGTGTTGATATTGTTAATAAAAGTAATGGCAGACAAGGCTGTGGATGTCAGCCGCCACAGCCTCAGAGGGAGCTCGGGGAGTCTTCAGTTGCTGAGACATATTCAGACTTTAGCAGTCATCACACCTAGGTTGATCATGGAAATTGAAAGCTTTCCTGTATTTTGTGTGTTTTCTCTAGTTCGCCTGCCTTCAGTTAACCTTTCGAGAGACTGTGATTGGTCAATCAATCCCAGAAAAGTAAATCCATGCAGAATTGTAGTTTGCGGTTTGGCAGAAACAGAGGTGGGTGACAGGGATTGAAATCAGATCTGTGTATACACAATGCTGCCAACAGTCCTGGATGTAAATATATTTGTAAATAGGTTTGAATATTTAAACTAATTTAAAAGTCCTCAACTTAGCTCTCCAGGCATTTGAAAAACCTCCAAAATGGAATCTTGACTCAGAAATTAAGATAACATTTAAGATAACCCTTCAGCTTGATATTTTGCCCTGTGGTCTAGCTGCCAGGCCTACTTTGTCGAGCGCTTGAAAAAAAAAAAAAAGAAATACAGATTGGACTCATCCAGCCAAGGGAATGTCAGCTATTCAGGGTTACATGTTGTTTATCAGATAAGGTACACACACAATCAGGCAGCGGAAACTGACACTGCCCAGACTGTATCACACACTCACATACATACGCACACCTGTGTATACACATGTATATACACGCATATTGTCTTTCATATGTACAATTATACATAGACTTTCTCTTGAACACATATACACAATTCATCTGACATATACACAGGTGCCTCCTCCTCCCAGACGTCCAACTCGACATAAAAATGTATTTCACTTTTTTCTTTCTTTCCATGATCCTGCAACATTTTTTCAATTTCATCTCCACTCTCCTCCAAGGACAGGGCTACAAGTCAGAGGGAACATGACGCAAATTCAACCATGCAAATGTATTCCACTGCACCATATATGTAGCTCACATATTCATTTCTGTATGCCGTCATGAGTATAGAATATCACAGGTAAAAAAAAAACATCCTCGGTGTTTTAGCAGCGCGGTTTTGGGAATTCTCTGCAGAGATTCAGTGAGTTTCTGCTCCGGTGGCTCAGTGTTGGGGTTGCGGGTGCACCACTCTGTCAGGTACAATTATGAAAAGTTGATTCCAGGAAGACCTGTGTGGCATTTTATACATGATGTAAGCTACGGTTACCTCATGCATTCCTCCATAACAGTACAGCCTCCCACACACACACACACATTTTGTGAACACAAAGCTTTTCATATACACACATACCAACTTGTTGACAGCTCCATGAGTTTGGTAATTGTCCAGGGAGCTTTGTACCTCTGGTAAACAATTGGATTGTCACAGACACATGTGCCAAGACAAATGCACTCGCTCACCCATATGCAGCACGCAGACACACACACACACATACACACGTGTTACTGCCTGGCATCCTTCAGGTGTGCTGCTAAGAGCTCCCTGCCACCACTGATCCATCAGCAGCTGAGTTGTGCAGGTGGTCGAGGGAACATGAGAACCTGGTTTAGTTCACACAGGAGCACCAGACACATTTATGCTAATTTTGGCACAATCTGAGAGGAATGAATGGAGGCCTACCAGTCATCACATAATGTGAGAACACTCATTTAACCTGATTGTTATTCAGTCCGAGAAACAGCTCCAGGACTTCAATGCTAATGGCTGTCTTGTAGCGCACAGTTGCCTGGTGTTTAGTTATGCTGTGGTCATGCAGTGTTGTTATGGATACAAGTTGTCATCTTGCTGCGTTGGTGGTCCGCGGTCAAAGTGTTGTCGTTTTTTCCACCGAGGCGATAAATTAAAGATTGGTATGTCTGAAGTGAGTAAAATTCAAGGTTGTAATACAGACAGCATAAAAAATCACTTGTTCATTCCTTCTTCCAGGCAGGGATTCCCCCTGTCCTTAAAGGGTCAGTAAAGTATCAATGCTTGATGATTAGCAGACCACTGAAGTTGCTTAATACTTAATGTGTAACTGGGGGATCCACAGGGCTGAAGTAGTACCTGTTGTGCAATAACAAAGCCTTACACTAATCCTACTGGTGATGAGTAATCAGGGTTACACTGAGGAGGTTACAATAGTCTGTTTGTTTGGACTGAAGTTAAAGTGATGAACAGCTGAGGGACACAATCGTAAGACATCACTGCTGTCTATCTGTAGAGGAGTGTAAGTGGGGGATATAAAAACAGCTTCTGTCATCTGATGGAGCAAAGCCACCACCTTAAGCAATGAATATCGGATCGATTGGTAGAAAACAGTATCATTTCTACAGCAAAGCCATACATAAAGACATCCTCTGGCATGTTGCTGATGAGTAGTAACAGCAACAGCAACTATTTGAGCTAGTGTTTCAGTAGTTGTAGAGCTCAGTACCCCTGTAAGGCAACCCAAAGGGATGCAAAGAAGCACATTGGTTATGCAGTGTCTTTGGGTCCGCATAGAGTGTCTGAGAGCCATTCCTTCACATTTCCAAACTCTACAGGAGAGAAATCAAATATCTGTGATCATTTTCAGCCTGTGTTCAATGGTTGTTGGCAGCTGGCTGTATAGAAAATAGAAAGGAAGAAATAATGGTGATAGAAGTAAATACTGGAATTTAGCCATTAAGCCCTTTGACTGTATGAGGGAGTAGAGGGTTTGTTTGACCCGCAGATATTGCATGAGGATTACAGGGATGGGGTGTTATCCTCATTTGACTTATTCCTACTGTGTTTTCTCAGCAAATGAAAAAAAAGCTGCTCCACAATAAATTGCAATAAACTTTTAGACTTTTATTTTCCTTCTATGCAGTCATTAACCTTACGGGTACTTGACATTTTTCATAATCATGTTGTAAGAGTGAAAAGAGGCCTTTATTATTTTAGTTTTAAAAAAATGTATATGAAAGAAGTATTTTTTGTGATGTGTAAGTTCTTATAATGTTCAAAGCAGAACAGCAGAATCTGAGTTGAAGGACACTACTTACAGTGCTCCTTCCCCTAAGACAGATAGAGAGGATGCATAAAAACCTAAATAAAATACACATTTGGGCATTACATATGTATGTTGTTTTTCTGTGTCTCTCCTTCCAGGTACCTTGCAGCCTAGAGTACTGGGACGAGCTCCAGCAGGCCTTTGTTCCATTTCGGGAGTTCAGCCTTTCAGAGAGCAGTGCCTGCCAGCTGCAGCTGCCCAGCCTCAGCCTCACCGACCAGCAGAAGGAGCTGGTGGCTTCAGACCTGTGGAGGATAGTACTCAATAATAACGGAGAGGGAGGAGATGAGCAGAGGTGAAAAACTTATATTTTATGTACTATGTTCTTTATTTTTTACGATTCCTTTTTGGTTGTAGGTGTGTATAGGTGTACTACGCATCCCTGTGCACCCGAGCTTGTTGTAGAAGAGAGTGTGGGGGTCTACAGTATGTGTGCCGTCCAGTGTGAGGGAGAGCAGAGAGAGAGCGCACCCAGGCCGCCGAGCACAAAGAGCTAGCAATGTGTCCCTCGCCCCACATCTGGTGTGCAGGAGCAGGGAGCGGGCTTGGAAGGCGTTCAGATCGGCCTAATGAGATTTCCCAGCACACCAAGTGCCTGTCAGGGCCCATCCGGATTCCTTCCTGCTTACCTTGAGTGTATCTAATCGAGGGGAAGCTCACGGGAAGCAAGAGGAGTAAAGCCCCCTTTGGGTTGGCCCATAAGTTCTTAGGCCTGGCCTGGCCTGGCCTGGCCTGGGTTGGGCTGGGATGGGATGGGCTGGGTCTGCCAAGCACTGTAACACCTCAAAGAGCATGCTTTTACTCCCTTCTTCTTGCTACCACTGCTTCCTCCTTTCGTCTCTATCATGTCTCACCCGGCATCCTGTTACATCTTCTGGGCTTCACCCATTTTTCATTTCTTTCTGTCTTTTTCTCATTCCATCTTCATCTTAATTTACTCTCTCTCTTTTTCTCTCTCCCCCCTTTTTACTTCCTCTCGGGATTTAGGGAACTTTTAGTGGAAGAGAATTGCCAAGCCCACATTCTGTGTGGCTTAGAGAGCTCCAGAGGAGCAGAAAGGGAGGAATAAGAAAACATGTAAGAGAAGAAACAGGGAAAAAACTCTACAGTACCAGATACAGTGTAAAGCAAAATATACATCTGTGTTTCATTACAATCATACTCCAAACACTACATTTCCTTTATGTTTAAAATATTTGTCTTTTTTGATCAAAATTGATTCCCCTTTCCTTAGTTGCTCGTTTCATCTGCCTTACTTTAGTTTCCACCAGAAAAATAACTTGGCTGCCCTGCCAACTGGAAGTAATGAAAATTGTCAACATATGATGCTTATCTTTTTAAGGAGCACTCTGCTGCACCAGCGTTTTTCAGGTCTTGAGCGTTTCCTGCTGGAGTTTTTATGGTGGATCATGGTAGCAGCAAATTACAGAGCAAATGGTCATTCACTTCAATTACCTTCCATTCAACATCATCAACCATGACATGCAATTAATGTCCATGGAGAGGTTCTCCTGGAAACTGCGGCAGTAATAATGTTCCTAAACTCAGCCTCGGACAGCGAGGGGGCCCTCTCCACATTGTTGTCTCTTTTCATTCCTTTTTGACTGAATAATTGTAGCATTTGTCTCACTGTAGATTTCTGACAAGGATGTCACACAATTTTTGACTCACTGGGCAAGAGACAAAAGCATTCAGCTACAAATACGAGTCAGGCTATTTTAATTAGCGAGTAGATTTTTTTTGGCCAATATTCCACAGCTGTGTCTATGCTTTTGATATTACAAAACAAAGTTTGATTGAAAATCAATAACCGTTTTCTAGTTTTTCCTGTAAAACTGTCAAATGCTGAATCACAGTCGTATATTTCTCATTATTATTTCCATATGAAATAATTAAATATTTACAAAGTGCCTTCTGTTAATACTTTATTTCTTTGCACTTTTTTAGTGTTTTTCACAGTCAGAAAATACCACTGCATCTGTTAATATGTGGCTGTATCTCCTTTTCCCTCCAGTTCGGATAGTGATTGTGGATCCCAGCTGCCCTGCGATCAGTTGGTATCTCCGATGGCCTTGGCAGCCTGCACCCGTGTGGACTCCTGCTTTGCACCCTGGTTTGTCCCCTCCCTGGGTGTGTCCCTACAGCTAGCACAGCTGGATGTTCACCTCTGTCACCACCTAGAACAGCTGGGCACAGGTAGAATACAGTAGACAGTACAAAGTATTAGGTAGTAGGTAGTAGGTTTAATAGAAGGGATTGTAGTTTAGTTGTTTAACAACATGACTTTAAATTGTCTGTTTAGTTTATTAGAGGAGAGAATGTTCTGCCTTCTTCGTAGATCATGATGGCAGAAAATAGTCAGAAAATAGACAGTGAGTCATTCCCTTTAATTACCTTACATTCAGCATCATCAACTACAGTTAATGTTTATTGAGTGGTTCAATCTGTGGCAATAATCTATAGTGATCTATTATAGTGTATTTGATCATCTCAGTCCAGCGATGATGTTAAGAAACAGCTCACAGCTCTAATGCAGTAATGCATTTCTCGTCTTCTCTGGAACTATGTATTTCATTTTTGTTTGACTTGACTTGACTCAAACCCATAGTCCCAGATGGAAATATGGCTATCCTATTTATTCACAAAAAGTTTAGTATTATTAGGAATTTTGATAGTTAGTGTCATGTTTTTATTATATATGTATCACAGTCCACTCTATAATTACGGATGTTGTGTCTTACTCCTCCAGTTCCATCTCGACAACTCCGTCCCTTCCTGCCAGACAGGAAGTTACCTCAAGAGCAGGAGTTCATGGTGATTGGTGCTCGGGAGCCACGGGTCTTCCTACGACAGTGGAGCAATGGACCACGTCACTGTCAGGAGTTCAGCTTTTCTACCCAGCTCAACTGCAAGTTGCTGGAGTACCGAAACCTAACACACCTTCAGCTCCTCCAGCCTAGTGTACTACAGGTAGGGCTCAGCTATTTGTATTGGTTTAATGTCTGAGTAGATATTCCGATTCAAAGCACTGATCAGAGAATGTAAAAAAAAAAAGCTCACAATAAGAATTTAACTTCTTGTGTTTCAGGGCCAGGCTACAGCCACATGTTGCCCCCAGAACACCACTTTGGATGTGAATGTGTTTGTGGACCCGGTGTTCCTCAATATCAGCCAATATGCCATACACACTGTGGACACTGCCATGCACAGCTGGCAACAGGTAAAAGAGAGTTATGGCTGTAGGAACTGCAACACACTTTAACCATGCTTCAAAGAATACAATAATAAATGTAAGCTCTATGAACTGTTAATAATAGATTATTGATATTGCTTTCAGAGCTTTAGAATAAAGGAGCATGTTTGGGGTACTGTAGGCTGAGATTGTTCGTCAATTTCTTTTTTTTATTTCCCCACTTACAGCTAATGTCTGTAGGAAAAAAGTTGATTTTATACACAAAAATATACAAATGCAATCTCAAGCAACTTTACACTGATGCGTGAGGAAGCACATTTGAAAGTAATCAGTGATGTGGTTGCTTAGGTTGTAAAATATTGGAGCATGACTCGTTCACTTGTACATTTAAATAGTGGGATACATTCAGACATTTAAGGTAACAAGAGAATTGGCCTGTTGTTTGATCGCTAACACTTGCATACAGCTATTACAGTATATTTGGAGCAAGTGGCTAGTAAATATATAGAGAAATCCGTAAAACATGTATGTACATTTAGAGAATATGCAGAAGGACGGTCTTTTGTCCCAGATGGAGTATCAACTAAACAAACTCACAACAAAGTGGATTTCATGAGAATGGTTTCGGTTGTATGCCAGTGGTAATAAAATGTGCAGGATGGAACTGCCTTTCAGTTTGCTGTAAACTCTGACTAAGAGGCTACAGTGTGTCTGTTCTTGGGCTTCTAGTCCTATGGTCCTCGTCATCTCTCAGTTCTCAGCTCTCAGCGCTGACTCTGGTAGCCAGGATATTTGTGTGTGAAGTGATGCCCATGAAAACACGGTAAAACTTGAGTGGTGACACCTGCCAAGACTTCATCTGGCCCTAGTCCTCCACCCACTTGTCTACTGCACACACACACACACACACACAAACTTACACATATACACACACACACTGGCCTCTCTGGCTTTGTATGCCCTATCATGGCTCTGCTCGGCTCAGCTGTGGCTGTGCTGACTCATATACTGGCCTCTGGAGACGTGAGGTACTCTCATGGTTTTACATGCATACAGACTCTCACTGCCAGGTGAGAGAAATAATAGCTTGTGTTACTCTAGGAACAGCTGTGGTCTTTTACCTGTGGAAAATAAAATTAAACAAGCTGTATAGAAAATCTACTATAAAATGATTGTTCTGGCTCATGGTTTAATACCTTTGTTTTCACCCAGTGGCATCATTGACTCATCAAAAGCTCTTAACCGACCGTGTTGGATGATGGGTCATAATTGACCCTTGGCTTCATCATTGCATCATGTAGCGCATGCTAGTGAATGTTCCCTATTTCTGCTGGTTAATTTAGCCATAAATAAGACTTTAGAGCGTTGGATGTGTTGTAATGAATGGTCATATTGCAGCTTTACTGGAGTGTTTTGGACATGCTGGTATCCATGGTGGGCTTTACCCAACATGCCAAGCATGATTAGTTGGGTTATTAGTTGGTCGTATGCTCTTTTCCAAGGCTTTTCTGATACTGATTGGGTGATATGTTTGGCTTTTTGAATGACATCTTTGCCAGTATCTTGAGACCCAAAATAGAGGCATACAGTTCTCATACGCGCACACAGAATGCCCTTCTTCACTTGTACACTACACATTCAAGACAGATATACTTTCAAACACAAACCCTGAAGGCTGCATTTACATGTTCACTGGTATGGGATTGATTCATAAAATGATTAAGCCTGCTGTATTGTCTTGATTGGTCTAAACAGCAGCAGCCTTGTAACTTGTAGAGAACCTTTTAACTACCTCCAGCCTTCACCACTTTGCTGAACACAAGGGAAAAACACACCATAATTATAAGGCAAATGTGCTGCATGTGGGTATGGTAGTTCTGGGGTAAGGGGTAGAGAGAGGTCAAATACAAAAGGCAGATTCTTTAGCTCCTCTTAAATATGTGATCCACTTCAGAGAAAGTTGTGAACACTTCGATCGTGGAATATTGTTTCCCTTTTTGGGGTTTTCACTGAAACAAAATCTTGTACATGGTGGGAAAACTTGCCTGGTGGTGTGGTGCACTATAGGGATGAATGTACGCTATAACGGGGCGCCCAGTTAAGCTAAAACATATCTTTGATCTGATAGAGGCTTACATTCCAGACACACATATGCACACATTGTCCATGCATAGAAGAACTTGATCCTAATTGAAAACGTAATCAGAAGCAGTTGGAAATGCTAACAGGCTTTGTCCTTCCGCAACAGAAGGATGTACCCTAACTTGTGTAATTGTTTCAGTGATTTTCATGTTTCCTGGTGTCAAGGCTGGCAGGCAGGCCTGTTGTGATGTGGCCTGTAGGGTCGGCATTGAACCGTGGAGAAGATTCCTCAACTACCACACAATCGAAACCTCACAACCCAGGCATGGTCATACCAGACCACCACAACCAGAACAGCTGGAGCACTTCCAGATGCATAGCAATAAATAGAAATAAAAGACACTTCTTGGTATATGGTTGTAATTTATTTTCATATTTGCCGTAATGCGTTATGATATACAGCTGTAGTCATGGTAACGTGGACCGCTCTTGGATCCATGATAACATCACAAGGATCTTTCTGGCAGTCATCAGTACACATGCCTAATGGTTTCTCATTAATATACAGAATGTACTGCATAATTAATCTATAATAATACTGCATGTACATAACCCAGCAGGTTCACCTCCTTTTCCTTACCCTCTACTGCAGTGCAGTTCTAATGTTAGCCAGACTGAAATCAAATTAAGCTACAATTGTGCTTTTATATGTAAAACTGAAAGAACAGTGGGGTAGAACTACAGTTTCTAGAGTTTTTTTTTAGTTCAGAAATGAATATAGAATGCCTTTTTATTTGCCTTTTCTCCTTTGCTCGATAGCCCCATATGGCCCCAACCTCAGACCCCCTCCACTCTAACCTCAGGGCCCATGCCTCCATTCTCAATCCTCAGTCCCCAGCCCCACTTTCAATCTTTACTCCCCCCAGCCCCTAACCCCAGGGAAGTGGCTTTCGTGGAAAGCCACACAAAAGCCCAGTAGTATTTACACACTCTGCTTTCTCACAGAACGTTCACAGGCTGTTACATGTGCAATTGAGACAACAGGAATTTTCCTCCTGTTATTTTTTTTTCCCCTTGTCCCTCCCATGTTTGAATGATTCTCTGCTTTCCTTTGCAACCGGAAAGAAAGTGATAGGGAGATCAGGTTCCTGTTTGTGGCAGATGTGTGGGCGAGGGTCATCTATAGAGGAATATATAGGTGATCTTAGATCTGATTATTGTTTCATCATGTCCCTTTTACAGGTTTCACTATCTCCCCCATAGTGTCATGTTTCATGAGTGTTTCTCTTGAGTGGGTGTCATTATTTACAATCTGTTTTCCAGACATTTTACTGTACCTTGCCATTTATACATGTGCCACTCTGCCATGCAGATCTGGGCTAGACTCTGAAAACTAAAGTAATAGTATCTGGGTGGATTAGCGAAATGGATACTTTGATTCCTGGTAGGACTGTGTCTGAAGAAGAAGCTGTCATCCTGTGCTCTTTAACAAGGAAGATGTGTTGACTGTTTAAATATCTTTGTCTTAATATTTGTCCACTTAAAATCCCTGGATAGACAGGGAGTGATTATGATTACTGCAGGAAGCTTTTCTGATGTGTGTATCATGTTGCCTCATGAATCGGAGCGGAAAGACGATACCATCAAAGAGCGGGCTTAGCAATGGCATCTTAAGATGGCAGCAGGAAGTTTGTAAATCGCAGTGTCAGATTCGAAAGGGAGCACAGATAGTGTTCCGCTATAAAACTGGAATGGATTGAACCCACCGTCGCAGCTGTCCCATCTATATTTTGCTCTCTCTACCTCTCTCTCACACATCTATCATCAAGTGTTCTTTTTAATGGTGTAAACTTTCCCATCCGTTTTCAATAGTATCAACAACCCCAGGACCCTGAACGTGCTTGGCAGTCAAACTCTGAGCTTTTACTGCCAGCCTCTTTTAACCATCTACCATCAACCCCCCCCCCCCCCCCACCCCCCCCACAGCCATTTAAAAGTACACAGCAGGCTTGGGTCCCTCTTTGTTGGGATAGTTGAGTAGTTATTGAGAAGCTGTCTGAACCACAGTCATGTGCGTCAAGAATCAGGGAGGGGTGTGCAGGAGAGATCCTAAGAGCCTTTGGAAGGAGCTCAAGTACAACTTACACACAACTCACATGCACACTATGCGCTGTTTTGAAATTGTGTACTTGAATTCCTGTATGCAGGAGGCTTGACACACTCCCCTCTCCCTGTTAAACCAGTGTTTTCAATAGCAGGCCAGTGAGCTCTTCGCTCTTGCATGCAAGGTGACGTAAGAGTGGACAGCATCCCTGTAGGACTCGCATGACTTGAGTTTTCTGTGAGGCTCGCTCATTGACCCATTGCTGTAGGTGGGCCAGACTCCACCATATTGTTTTCTCCAGCAAACCACAATATATTGATGACTCTTACTAACAGGAATGCCTACTTGAAGGCCCACTTTGTTCCAAGCATTGAGAACACACACAAATAGAGTTGCCATTTGAAATGATTGACATCTCCAAGCCTGTTTATCTCACCAATGACCAACATTTAGCTGCCCAAAGAAGGATGTGAAAAAGATTCTGCTAAAGAGAGCGGCCTCCTGGAGGTTTAATGTGGGACCAGTGGGCAGATTTGGCCCCCGAAGCCCAGTCTGAGCTGCTTTAGCCTGGATAGCTGTCAGGCTGGGATATGATTCACTCCCTTGTTGAGCTTGTGTTGCTCCCATGGATGATATCACTCATCTCTTTCTCCTACTGGCTGACAGCTGCACCACTAAGATCTGCATTTTTAAGATCGAGAATACATACATCGTTGACACCTGCATATGTGCTTATGCACGTACTGTACATTATACACCCACCATAAACATACACACCTGGAAGTATTTGCTTACTCTTTTATTCACAAGCTCTCTTTCTCATGTCACCCCTTTTCTTTCTCCTTCTTTTAACCCATCCATCCACCACTACCTCCTACTTCAACCCCTCACCCTCCTGTTTTCTCTCAGAATGGGAACCCAGAGGCCGAGGAGCTGGTCTACAGCCATTATGTGATCTGTAACGACACCCACGAGATGCTGCGCTTTGGCCAGGTGGACACGGATGAGAACGTGCTGCTGGCCAGTCTCCACAGCCACCAGTACAGCTGGAGATCCCACAAGTCCCCTCAGGTAGTGTGCACACACACACATACATAGCCCAGGGGCTGGGAAATATCCGATGGCCCCCATCCCCATGGTTTTGGTTTGAGTTTTGAGTAGATATACACACAAATGCATCTTCATACTCACAGAACCTTCACCAATGCACAGTATATTCAGAAAGACATCAATGCACCCTCAATATATGTACATGGGACATATATACAGACATACCCACACATTTATATATACAAACCAAAATGTTAACATAGAGTATTGGCACCAGCAGTACAGACACAGAAACATAATACACAGATGGTACCTACATAACCTTGCACAACTAGTGTATGCCTGAGTACACATGTATTGTATGTGCTCACACACACTCACCAATGTATAAAGAATGGCTTACACATACAAATTCACTGTCATTATCTTGAGCCTACAAATGATGTCTGCAAGCTCACAGAGGTACACGCACACACACACACACACCGGACACGCTGTCATCAACATGCAGCCTCTATCTGTATGTTTCTGACAGAGCTCTCAGACTGTGCCCTGACAGCATTGTTAAAGAAGATTGATTATATTTAACCCTTTGTGGTTTTGAGGTTGAGCGGAGGGTGGGCTGGCGATCTGTGGCATATGTGTGTGTGTTTGGTGCGCACATGTTTCAGGACCCCCATGTGTTCCACGGCGAGTGTGAGAAAGTCAAGCTTGAGAAAAGACATGGCCATAATTGCTCGCAGTAAGTCAGTAAGTCAAGTTGTATTAATCATCGACCATGGTTAATCTGTGCTCTTACCTCACTCTTGCTTACACACACACACACATTTGGAGAGTGGCAATCTGGCATATCAGCACAGCGAATACCACATCTCATTTTAGGAGTCAAAATGACCTCTGCATATTCAGGGATGTTTTGGAAGAAAGATTGTCCGAATGGGCCAAATGTCATCACAGATGAAGAATGTGATTCCAAGATGGTTCTGTCATGTGTTATTCCATCATGTGTTTGTGGTATATGAAATATGGGTTCTCAAGATGAACATGATTTGTGAAACTAGATAAATAAGAAATAGTGCAACTTTGCCAAAAACACTCTGCTAACTTATTGAGCTTGATGATAAAATGCCTGCCAATGTGTCCGCCTCAGCAAATTGTAGCACACACTCCTAATTACATCTCGGGGTTATAAAAATAGTGACACTGATAAGAGAAAGGGTTGTATTTCTTTAATGGTTACTTGGTTCCTGCACTTGTGTTTTTGTAGCTCTTACAAATCAGTTTCCAGTCCGAGTATAAGTGGTTGTGCTGTTTTGCTTGAGTCCCATGATGCTTCGGAGTGTCTAAAACAACTCTGATCACCACAAGCCATCATTCCCCAGACCTCCCCACTCTCCATAGCAACCTTTCCTCTTTCTATCTGTGAGCCTGCTCTCCACTTCAACCCCAAGACCTTCCCCTTAACCCCTGACCTCTAGCCTATTTGTCAGTTATATTCCCAACCTCACTTCCTATCCTGCATTAACCCTTTGACTCTTTCAGGCTGCCCATTTGCGCTGTATTACTATTGTATATTTATAAAACTTTTAACTATCTCTTACCACCCAATGCTGTCCTAACCCCCCTCATCTCTAAACCCCTAACCCTCTCCCATTAGCTCCTTTTTTTTCCTTCATCACTCTAAACCCACTCATCATTTACACAATTCCCATTTTCTCTTTCATTTCACTTTGAATAACCATGTTAAACAACAGTTCAGAGTTCTTTCAAACAGCCACAGTGCTGGTTGTTGTGAATGATGGACCTCAACTCTGTGATGACAGTTGTGTCTAGTCAGCTGTCTGCTCTGTCCTCTCACTGGTCCAGCCAGCAGACCTGAGGTTTTCTCATGTTGCCTGAGCTCCATTCTTAATGATCTCCAAGGCTTATTCCCTTCACACTTTTTCACATCCCTTCACCCCCCTCCCCATTCCCAAATGCTATAACCCCTCCAAGTACATCAGTAAACACTTTTCAGCTTGGGACCCTCAGTGCAATTAGCTCACTCATACTGGGGATATGCTAATGCTGTGCATAGTATTCTGTGTCTTTTCTTGCCATGCACTGTAGGGACCCACCAAACACAGGCCAAAACCAATTTTAGGCCACACACCCTAAGCCATAGTTAAGAAAACGTAGCTGTGCAGTATTCCCTTGATGTCGGCTCAGTCCAGTTCTCTCTTTATTCCTGATGCCTCACCTCCATCAGCTCGATGAGATCAGTAGACCTGGACAGTCTCTGGCCTCCGCACTGATTTGGGGTCTCACTTGGACATCTGTGCCTTTCTCTTAACACTCTCCAACAACAGCACACCGCATCCCAGCGCTGTCCTTGTCCCTTTTCTCAATCCCCCGAGCACAGTCCTGTGTTCTGGTGTTTACGACCATGCTGGATGAGCTCATTAGCCCTGTCTGGCTTGTCCTGCCGCTGGCCTCTGCCTGGCTATCCTGTTCTTCTTGGACTCTGACGACTTTGTCCTTTTTATCTCTGTCACACCCCAGTAAGTGCTGTCCTCTCATTTGGGATTGTGGCCTTGAATTACTCCAGGAGCCTTGCTCTACATCTCGCTTGTTCCAGTCTGTTCTTTAGCCATGCCAGTCCCCTCACTCGATTTATATAGTTCTGTTCGTGCACCTTTTACTTCCCATACATCACCCATGGTCACATTGCTCCATCAGTAGCCCTGGTTTGACTCTGTCCTCTCTTGACATGAGGTCATGGCTCCTCCTCCCTTTATTTCCCCTTCCTGGCCCTCTTAACCACCGAACGACCATAATTGCCATCACTCTGTCCAGGGTTCATCTATCTCTACTTCCCAACATTGCCCCTTTTCCCTGTTTTATCCAACACACACAGAAGAACGCAATCCCCACCCCTGTTGTTCATGGCCAATCTTGTCTTGTCTGGGAGGCCTGGGGCCTGTCGAGAAGGCAGGCCATCAGCCTGTCCTCATGGTTCTGGTATGATGTGTGTGTCCCAGCTGACCTGTCCCCCAGGCACACACACTCTCTCTCTCACACACACACACACAAGCCAGAGCTACTAATTTGCTGTTGTAAAGTAATCTGTCCCCCCTTTCTCTCTCTGGCTCCCTTGAGAACTTACTGGACATGAGATCATCTTGCAGAGAGGACAGGGGGGAGATGGTGGGAGTGGAGAAGAAGGGATGAAGGCCGAATGGACAGGGAAATATGAGTCAAAATGGGGGTAGCAAGGAGTTGTCAAGGGGGATACTGTACAGGCCTACTTTAGAATACGGGAGGACATGGAAAAAGGGAAGCAGGGGCAAAGGATGAGCCATGCTCTTAACACTCACAGATTGGCTTAGAGAACTCTACAGTGGCGATGAAGCCAAAAATGTGTCTGCTCGCTATCTTGCTGTCCCTCCCATCTTCCCCATTTCTCTCTGTTCCTGATGCACTAGCAAAACATTTAGGAAGGTATAGGTGAGTAGATTTGCCAACTATGCTTTATTATCGTACATTAAATCCTTTAATCCTATCTTAATCTGCTTTTGCAAGTCCATAGTTAGAAAGAGTCATGAGAGAGGAAAGAACTTCCTCAATGAAACAGGCCTGCTGTTGTTTCAGCTTGAACTAAAACAGGGAGGCATATTTCAAATCCTGCAATCTCCTGTGTGTGTGTGTGCCTTTGTGTGTCCGTTTGTGAAAGAAGAGTGTTTAATGTGTGTGTGTGATCCTGAGTGGTCTAACTAGTGTACACTTCCCATGATGTTGACATACCTCTGAATATCTGTCACTTCTCTCAGAAGAACGCTCAAGTGGAGTGTTTTTGCAGTGAAACGTGAACCTTGGCTCAGGTCACACTCACTCTCACTGCTCCTCTGTTTCTCTCCATCTCCCTTCCACTCTCTCAAACCCCCCTGTTTCTGCTGTCAGTCACAACCGTAAGATGCATTAAAAGGGTCGATTGAGGCAGTCACGTCCTAGGAGCCCACTGTGGTCTAACACTTGATCAGATTCATACCCACCCGTGCACACTCGGACCCACACACACACACACCCACACACACACACACACACACTGTGATAAAATGTTTCCTAAGGCCTGGAGTCTGTCAGGCCTCACAGTCTAGTCTCTCTCTCTTTCAGGCTCAGCATGCCTTCACACCCCAGCATTTACCAGCCAAGGTGAAGAAGTTATAATAAAAACACATAATTTGCCCAATTTCTATCTGTTTTTATGATTTTATTTCATATATATTGTATGAGAGAACATTAGAGGGAGAGATGGATACAGACAGATATTTTGATACGTTGATCAAAAAAATGCCAGGATGTTCATACGTAAAACTTCACACTCTTTATAATTTAGTACAGTTTATATCTGTCTCACACACACACAAATACACTTTTTGTCCCCGCCCTGCTGTTTTTCAGGGCTCTGGCGTGTGGTGGTGTGGATGGTTGAAATATCTGGGTGCTTGGTACAGGATGCAGCCTAGCTGATGGAAATCCCTGTGGTTAGTGTGGTTAGCAGGGAGAGGGGCGTAAAAAGCCCCCTGGATTTGGGAAGGACTTTTTAAGTGCCTACAAGGAATATTCACAATTTGAATAAATTGTAATTTACTCTAGGAGCAGGCTTCTACAGAAGAGCTCTCCCACTCTCTTGCTATATGTGTGTCAGTGTTGTGTTGGTGTGCGTGGTTCCCGGGGGTAATGTGCTGGAGATAGCAGCCCAGGACTATTAGTTTGCGGTTAGATTGGCTGTGTTGTTGGAAGCAGGCATGACAGGGAGGTATTTGAGAGAGAGAGAGGGAGGAAAGTGTATACATCAGTGTACACTATGTGCTTGTTCATGTGAGCATTATTGTGTGTGTCTCCTGTTGCTTACTTGCCAGCACTTTGCTGTGTCAATCTGATACGGGTTCTTGTTTTCAACCTACAGCGGGGTTCAACTTTTACAGCTCATTATTCAAAACAAGTATATTTAATCCGTAAAATGTGTCAGTTATTTTCTC